AACTGTCCCTGATCTGGATTTCCTCGTCCCCTCCAAGGAGGAACAGCGGCCGCTGCAGCAGACACAGGGGCTGACCCCCTTCCAGGGCCAGCTGCTTGCACGGGGTCCAGGAGCACAGCCAGTTGAGACGAGTGACCTACAGCCAGGTGTCCCCATTGGCCCGTGCACACCCTTCACCACCGCCTCCCTAAAGCGTGCAGCCAGGCAACAGGAGCCCAGTGGGCCCAGGGCCGCAGGGGTGAGTCCACGGTGGAGCCAGCAGAGGCTCTGGGGGTCAGGAGCGCTGAGCACAGGAATAAACAGGACGGGGAAGAGTGGGTGCCCGGCCCACCTTGCAGAAGGGGCCCGTCCTCAGTGCTGGCCCCAACACATCCTGGGCCCTGTCTTGCATTTGCAGGATGTAAAGGGTGTTTCCAACGTGGAAGGCTCTTTGGGGCATAAGCAGCAGCTCCCGTCTGGGGGGAGTCAGGTAGGTGCTTCTGAATCTCCCCTTGCAGAGCCACTCAGGCTCAGCAGGGCTGTGTGGGCCTGGCCCCTGGCACTGTGGACTTGGGTAGATGCCCCTCCTTTTTTTGGAGAAGTTTTTGTTATAGGGCGTGTGCACTCACCAGAAAGACAGAGAGAGACAGAGAGACAGAAAGCCAGAAATCACCCCCCATGGGGGATGGCCACGCCACAGTCCCTTCTCCATTCTCCTCTCGGGTTCTTGGGCACGCACGCACACACATGCCCAGCGTGACTTTAAGCCACCTGGTCCGGGACTCGAACCGTGATTGACTACATGGGAGTCCAGCGACATAGCTATTACATTAACTGCTGGCCCCTAGATGCCCCCCCCCTTTTTTTTGGAGAGGTTTCTTGCTATAGGCCGCATGCACTCGCCAGACAGACAGAGAGAGACATAGAGACAGAAAGCGAGAAATCACCTCCCGGGGGGATGGTCACGCCGCAATCCCCTCTCCTCCATTCTCCTCTCGGGATCTTGGGCACGCACGCACACGCGCCCGGCGTGAGATTTAAGCCACCGGGTCCGGGACACGAACCACGGTTGACTACATGGGAGTCCAGCGACATAGCTATTACAGTAACTGCTGGTCCCTAGATGCCCCCTTTTATTTCAGGGCAGTTCAGCCCCTAGGGCCACTTCACGGCTTCTGCCCCACATAGGAGGGGGTGGGCCCCCACTGTAGGCTCCATGGGCATTTTATTCACACCAGGCAGAGTGGGAGGTGGGGTACAACTCGGGGTCTCGCTCCAAGGGAGATGGAGGCAACTCTCAAGTGCTGAGGTGACACACCAGCCTGCAGGCCATTCTGGACAAAGCTGGGCATTCCATCCCCTCTGTCAAAATGCCATGAGCTCAGGAGTGGATGAAGCGGTGTGGGTGGCGATAAACCGCTCCCCACCTCCTCCCCAACCCCTATTCCCCTGGTCTATCTGTTCTTGGTTTCCCTGTCGGAGCCCCTCCTTGGCCCCCTTTTCTCCATGGGACCCCAGCCCCACCCATTCCCGGGAGGCTCTGGGGACACGTGGCCAGGCTTGGACAGGGCCTGGTGTGCCCTCACTTCTCGTCACAGGCCAGCTGGAGCTTTTGGGGCAGCGGCTCTGGGCCCCTGTGGGGCAGCTCCTTGAGCCTGTTCTCAGACAGCAAGGCGGCTGCAGAGGTACCAGACAGCATGACGGGGGCGGGGGGCGAACCGCAGACGTTGGGGGCTGGGGACAAGGCAAAGGGGCCAGTGGAGACCCAAAGGCCCCTGTCTGGCCATTGCCCCCATCTCTCAGAGAGTGGTGTCCAGGGACTTCACTGACCTCGCGGGAGCCCGGTGCGAGAGGCCAGGGGGTAACCATGGCAGGGAACATGGCTTCTCCCTAAGGTGAGGGTGAGAACGCACTGACCCAGGAGGGGCTGAGGGCTGGACATCGGGTCCCAAAGGGGAGGTGGAATTTAACCTGTGGCTGTTTGGGTGACAGGCCCAGCAGCGGGGCAGAGATCCCACTCAGAGCACCATCCAAGGAGCAGGCTGAGAGCTGGCGACAAGCCCTGGGCAGCGTGGCAGGTGGGCCACAGAGGGGAGCGATGACTTCCTGGGCCACAAACTCCCAGTGCACTGGAGTCTCACATCTCGTCACCCTAACCCCTGAGGAGTAATTGGGACCGACTTATTGTCTTTTCTTTGTCAAAGAATTTAAGGCCAAGAGAGGTGGAGCGACTTGTGCAAAATCACACAGCTAATTAGCTGGGGAGGGGGAGGAGCTCGACCAGTTCCGTCCTGGTCCTAGTCTGCCCCCTGTGGGGTCTGCCACCGTGAGTCTCTCCGCAGCCCTCCCCACCAGGGTCCGCATGGACTCTCCTCCTCCAAGTGTGGCAGGCTCTGCTCTGACCTGGGCAGCTTCTCTGATCAAGTCCTCGGGCGAGCCAACACTTTCCGGGGTGCCTCGCCGACAGTGGCCAAGCCCAGTTCTACCGCCTGGGGAAACGGAAGAAAACACCCAACCCAGTTTCTGTCCTGGTCGTCAGGGTATGACAAGGCTGTGTAGCGCGGGCTGGGCGTGCTCTGGGGGCTGTGGGGACTCTCTTCCCACTCCATCTGTCTCCCCTGCCCTGTCTCCAAGACTCATTCCGGAATCCAAAAGGGATCTTGAATTTCTTCAGCGTTTCACTCTCCCGCCTCCAGGCTGCACCTTTCCATGGCTCATCTGCACCGAGCCCTCCCAGTGGCAGGGGACATGGGGGGCACCTGCCACAGGCCCTCAGCCTGGGCTTATCTCCATGTGGGACAGGCACAGGGGCCATTCTGGGCCTCCAAGAGCAGGAGAAAGGAGCAGGCAGAGCCGGTCACCCACAGATGGCGGGGCAACAGGACAGGGCCTTGGGGCAGGGCTCACAGCTGCTCTCCCCTCGCTCTGCAGCCCAGGGTCACAGCCCAGAGCCCACAGCCAGACCTGGCGGCCTCCCAGCTGGGAGCACTGTCCGGAGGATGCCCAGCACAGCTGCTCTGCACAGGTAGGACACCGAGGTGGGGTGGGGTGGGGTGGCCGTGATGAGCCGTGTGGAGCTTCAAAGACTGGCACAGGGGCCTGATGGTGGAGTGAGCTGTAACACACCGCTAGGCGGGCCCATGGGGAGATTCCAGGAGTGCATGTGCCCACGTCCCAGGGCTGGCAGAAGCTGAAGGTGGATCATGGCATCAACATCCTTTTGGGGCGTTCTCTCACCGAAAAAATAAGTAAAAATAAAAACGACTAGCACAGCTGCTGCCCTCTTAAGTCTGAGGTCCTGAGATCACACCTACTCTGCAGGGAGTGGAGAAATCCCCACACCTGGGACCTTCAGCCACTTAGGAACTAGGAAGTCCTAACACCCCTGCTCTCTCAGCCTGACTGCAGAGTGCAGGCCACGGGCTCCCTTTCCCACAGACTCGATGGCCGTCCTCTCCCAGGGGCTCACTCCACGCCTTCTGCACTGGGAGAGACTCCACAGAAGACCGGGCCTGCAGCAGAGGGCACACAAGGCTCCCCCACCTTTCCTGCCCTGGCTGGCCGACGCCAAGGTGAGGACCCCCTGGCCCACAACTGTGTGGCACGTTTTGGTCTTCTTCCTCCCCCTGTTCAACAGAGCACCTGTGTGCAGGCCAGCCAGACCTCCCCTGCCCCGCTCTCTGACTCCGTCAGCTTCCCTTCTCGGTCCCTGCTCCGAGGGGCTCGAGGAAGCCCAGGAGTCAGCAGTCCATGGGGCTGCAGGGCAGGGACGAGGGCAGGCAATGGCTGGGAGAACAAGGGAGGCTGAAGTACCGGAAGTGGCTCTTATCCAAGCTCCTCCGCCACCCCTTATGGACTCCGGCACCGGCCAGATGCTCACGTGCGTCTCCTTCCTACCTCCCAACCCGTGCTTCGAAACCTCCAGGAGACGCAACCAGTGCATATGTTAGATGAAAATGGGGAAGGGACTGGAGCCAGGCCGGCTGTGGTCCCCAGGCCCAGGGTGAGGCTAGCTGTCACACTCACATATACATATATACTAGCTGTGGGCCCGGAAGGTGCTCACTGCTCCAGGAGGCAGCCATGGCTGTGGGCTTGGGCACAGCCATCCACTCCCACTCCTGCAGGGCCCACCTGTAGGGTTCCAATTTATGACACAGATGACGTCCTGGACAGCAGCTGCTGAGACCAGGACAGACATTCCCTCTACTTTGTGACTCCAGCCATGTGCCCAGGGCAGGGCCTGAGCGGCTTGGCCAGGCTGGCCGGTGTAGTGAGTCGGGTGTAGACATCAGGGCGATTCCCTCCCATTCACACCACATGCTGCAGCAGCAAGTCAGCTCCAAGAAGCCAGGAGAGTGGACGCTTCCAGCGCAGGCCAGAGGCTGGGGCAGGAAAGTGCTGGAGAGGAGCCCGAGGTTCTGGGGTAGCCAGGCCCTACATCTCTGCATCCCCATCCTCTCGACAGGTCTGGACCTTGAAGTGAACCCCAAGGTGATGCCAAACATCAGGGCAAGTGAGGACACCCTCAAGGGATCCAGATGAGACCTGGCAGCAGCCTCCAGGTATCCCTCCCTTGGCTGCTCAGACCAGGCTTTGCCGAAGGCCAGGCCAGGCTGCCAGGACCAGCTTCTGCGCATCTAGTTCGAAGACGGATCCCTTTACCATTGTTCCGCCTGCTGAAGCCAGGTGATTCTCTGCCTCACCTGGCCCAGGTCTGGCCGCCTCTCCCCATGACAGGAAATGGCCCTTGACCTGACTCCTTGGCCTCAGCCCGAAGTCCCTGCCTGGGTGACAACAGAGTGCTGGCTGCCACTCCTGGGCAAGGCCAAACTGTCCCTGCTTGGAACAGGAGGCCAGAACAAGCCCCTGCTCTGCAGGAGAGGCCTGCGGTGACAGCTTGCTCTGTAAAGTGCCTGGGGAGACGTCGCTTTGTAAACAGTCCTCTCCATCTGTGACTAAGAGCTGAGAATGACGTGCCCCTTCCCCGCAGCAATGACAGATCATCTCCACAGACACCATTCACGTGGGTCTCCGTTTTACTTCGTGTAACCAGTCAAGGCACATGGAGGGTGGACAGACGCAGGCGCAGGGCTCTGAGTGCCCACACAGACTGAGGCTGACGCTGCCTGGGGCTCCAGCCCCACCTCCACCCTTAGGGGCTGCCACAGGACCTTTGCCCCCCAGTCCTCCTCTGGCTGGAGGGGCAGCTGCAGGCCTACTCCATGGGGACCAGGGCCCAGCTGCCAGGAGAAAGCGCCCTGGTTACGGCCTTCAGCCTGGGCTCTGGGACAGGGTCGCTTATGGCCTCGGCATCACACGTGCTTGGTCCTCGGCATCCAAGACCCCAGAACACTTGAGAACAGTCCCTGTCCCTGATTCAAAGCAGAAGGGGAGGGACCTCAAAGAGTCACAGGTGGCGGGGGCCAGGCGGGAGCCCCGGGCAGGCGCCTCAGTCGGCAGCGTCACGAGGGCTTGGGCTGCCTGCGCTGCCGCCTCCGCTGCACGGCCTGGCGCAGGGCCCCCAGCAGCTGCTCCCGGTTGTTGCAGATGTTGTAACGCGTCAGGCGCAGCAGCCTGTCCGTGTCCTCTGGGCTGTAGGTCACCTTCGTGTAGTGGTAAGGGGAGTCGGACGAGGACAGGTTCACCTCCCCGGCCTCCTTCTCCTCTGGTGTCCGCCGAACCCCTACGGAGACAGAGCAGCCTGGCCATGGAGGGGAAATGACAGGCAAGGGCTATTGGGGACAGGGGCCCGGAAGGTGGCTCACCAGGGGCTGAGTACTCCCGGAAGGAGTCGTTGACCAGAGGGAAGTGCAGCACCAAGGGGGCCTCAGGGCAGGCGGGGTCGGAGAAGGTGTGGCACTCCTGAGGCTGGCGCTGCTGCTCAGGGCTAGGCGCAATGGGCGGGAATGGGATCCCCTGCTCCTGGCAGAACCGGCCGAGGAGCTGCAGCTGCTGCAGGGCAGGCACAAGGGGCGTCAGAGAGATGGCCCACCAGGCCCCTCCGGCATGCTCAAGGCAGGCCCGGCTGATACGGAGAGGCCCTAAGAACAGCAAGACTCAGAGCCTGACTGCCACGTCAGCCGTTAGTGGGCCCGACAGCCAGACCAGATTGGAAAACACGCTCTGAACCTGGCAGTCCTGCTGCTGCGGCTCCTCTGGGGCTTGCGGTGACCCTAGAGGCCCAAGACCTTACAGGGTGCAGGGGCAGCGAGGAGACCTAGCACAGAACACGAATACAGCACCAGCTCCCCCTCTCCGCCTTCCTAGGCAGAGCGGTGTCCTGGGCGTGAGCTAACAGACCACTCAGGGGGTGTCACTGTCCCAGCTCCTCAGGAAAGCTAGACCACCGCTTCGCTCTAAAGCAGCTCTCCCCCGAGGCAGAAGCTGAGAGGAGCCAGCTCAGGGGCACTTCCCCACACCCCGCTGTCCTGCAGCAGGTCTGCCCCGTCCCCAACCTGAAAGGCTCCGTGGAGGTTGTAGTCCAGTGACAGGATCAGGTCCACGTCCCGGGTGGGCTGCAGGAGAGGTGGGCAGCTGGTGTTGATGAGGTAGCCGACATCCAGCAAGCAGAGGAGGTGCTCCACGGGTGACAGCTGGTTGGGCAGGCCGTCCAGTTTGGTGGCTGGAAAGGTTGGGGGGAGGGTGGGGACAGGCAGCACTGTCACTGAGGACTCCAGACTCTGCGTACCAAGGGTGATTCTTGCTACTGGTGGAAGGAGAGATGCTGCCTTCTGGCCCCTGCTCCCTCCTCCTAAAGGAACACCCCACCGCCCGCAGCCCCACGTCCCCAGGTCCCCGACACAGGGAGGGAGGAAAGGAGCACATGTCCCCAAGCAGCCCAAGGCTATGGTGCCAAGGGAGGGGACGCGAGGGTGCCCGGACTCAGGCTCAGGCAGCCACAGGAAGAGCTGAGGCCAGAGAGAGAAGCAGCTACCTTTCCAGGCAGAGAAGTGAGGATGCTGGAAATAGTCTCTGTGGAAATGGAGGCCACGCAGGAAATTGTGGGTGGCCTGGGCGAGTGGGCGCCTCGTCAGAAGGTCAGTGAAAAACTCGGCTATCCTGCCAGCCATCGTGGGTGGCTCTTCCACCTTCAGAATGGGGACCTGCTCCTTGTCTGCACAGGCAAGACAGTGCAACGAGGGGGGACCCTCTCCC